CACAGCCCCCCCCCTTTCGAAAAGCCGCTTTTCCTCAAAAATTGAAGTTTATGTGGCTTTTCAAAGGGGGGGGGGGTTGCCGGAAAAAATGCATCTAGACTACTTTCACTCTGCTTTCAAAAGTGAGATCAGCAGAAGATATGCAAATTCCCACTGAATTTGCATATCCCCTTTCGACACTTTAGCGTAATCTAGATGAGCCCTGACTGGTTATGAACAGAGCATGCCACTGCCTCCTCACAAATCTGTGGTAAATTAGGTTACCTAGGTTACACATTACCTAGGTTACACATTTGCACAAAGTTTCAAGGGCCAGAAAGTGCATCAAGTTCTGAAGAAAGCTAGCAAGTCATTGAAGTAGTTTCTTTATTTTTATTAGAAATGTATTTACAAGACTTTAAACATTTACATTGATTGCCCAAGTATCCTTGTTCCATTTACAAGCTTACAGTAATCCTAGGTTTTTCAAGATTAGAGCACAACCCTTTAAATAAAAAGAATTACAAAATGTATCAGCACAAATTAATCCAGACTACAGCACTAAAGTATAAGATAAACTCAATATATTTAGTTAAGTATACATGTTAAACTTGTTCCTCATCTCAAACAAGGTCAAAGGACTTTTCATAATTATTTTAAGCTCTGCAATAACTAAATTTTTTCCACAATGCAAAGTTTTTTCAAGTTTCCAGTAAAGAAAGTTAGCAAATTCTGGCCACAGCTAGAATGCAGAACCTGCTACATTTGCATCGTACTGTTCAATGCTGTGCAGCACAGGTCAAGGGAAGGCTGTAAAAATAAATTTAAAAAAGACAAACAATCCAATAGTTTTTCCAAGAAAGTTCAGGGCTGGCTTGTTACTTTAGTTGCTAAAAATTTAACAGACGTCAGTTCAGCAGATAATTTTGGATGATTCTCAGATACCAACAGAAGGGCAACCTAAGTTATACCATAAGATGAATTCCAAACAGCATTAGCCAGCTTCAGGAGAACCTATTTAACTACCCTTTCAGGAAGTTGCCCAGAGCCTGGGCAGACACACAAAAAAAATATCAAATATAAAGGTGGCATGGATTTATGCCAGCAGGAGGGAATTTTTTAAATTTTACATACATCATCCACAAATCACTGTTGTTCCATTAGAAAGACTAGCGCAAAAACTGCATCAGTCACTGGAAGGCTTTTGCAGGATGCCAAAATATTCTAGAGATTAAGAAAGCATGTGGTCCCAGTGATAAGATACATACATGACGTTTCTTTCAGCTGTTATGACGCGATGCAAAGCTTGATTCAACTATAGACAGGCGTGCCTCAAGTGCTTTCAGTATGGTTTCCGCCTGTTACATTGGAAAAAGTTTCCCAGAAATATGAATTTACAAGACAAAAAAAACCAACACCATAATGCTACCCCAGTGATTGCTATAAAACTAGTATGGACTGCAGGAGATACCATTACATTTCTGTTTTAATCTTTCCTCACCATCTTCACTGAAAGGAGTTCACATAATGTTTGGCGCTTCAGTTAATTCTGACTATTCTAGTAAATGCATTTTAACATCCCTAAACATGTAACCATTGAAAATTTCAGCAGTTACACAGCGGGGGCAGGTAGGGCATCTCCCATGTACACTCTTCCCCTCTGCTGCTGCCTCTGTATCAGAGGCAGCACCACAGGGAGGGAAGAGAGGGGCCTGCATGTAATACAGGCTCATTGGTTAAACACATATACTGTTACACTTTCACATCCCTAAATATGACAATTTATTGCAGCAATGTAGCCACCACAGAATTATCTGACACTTAGCTTAAAGTTTCACTATGTTTAACTTATGTAATACAAATTTAGCTTCTCTCAGAGGTTTCCTCCATCTGTTATCTTACTTACTGTCCTGGCTACATGATTATGAGTAATAGGAACCCAGATTATAGGCTCAAAGCTTACTTACTGTCCTGGCTACATGATTATGAGTAATAATAAGGGCATTTTCATAGCTATAAAAAACAATTTTAAACACCGGAAAAATATTTCAAGTTTGCTTATATCAGAGAGTGATTTAATGTTGAATTGCATTCTACCTTCCTTAGTGAATCAAAAATATATCAGAAATTATTTCACTTTATGGCTTCAAACCAAACTGGTCAAAAACGCAATAGTGAAAAGATTTGTCAAAATTGTATCTAGAGAAACTCTGAACTACTACACACAAAAAGCTATAGGTAACTCTAGAAAAGTGAAACATGACAATGATAAAAATTAGATCAGTTTGACTGAACTCCTAGGTGTTTAAATGGAATTATTATTGATATTATTGGGATTATTATTAAGTAGGATATTACTGATGGCTGTAAGTCTTCTTAAATTGTAATTACCTCTGAATTACTTAAAATGAAATCTTACCCTTTCCAGTGCTTCTTCTAAGCCAGCTCGACTTTCAAGAGTTAAAGGTTCATCATCAGTTATAGCTTGTTTTTCTGAGGATCCTAGGATGTAACTAGTCATAATGTGAAACAAGGAAATAATCAACTGAAAGGACCTGTTAGCAATAAAAATAGCTCTGACAGAAAGGGAAGTGCTGCAATGATCAAAACATTCATGCTGTTAATGTGAGTAAAATACTGATTTTTTTTAATGAACAAAATCAAGTCATACTGGTTTATTTTAACTAACATTTCAATAACTAAATTATGACAACTTATGTTAGGCCTCAACTTAATGTGCCCTATCAAAGTAATACATAGTTGTGAAGTTTTAAAGACTATCAAAATCACTGAACTAATTGAAGTTATTGGACACATCTGGAAACAGTCTACTGAAGTGCTAACCATCTTTAACAGTAGCTTCTTTTGCAGGTATAGAGAATATTTTCCTCATTTTAGTTTCAGTCTAATTGAGTTCAATGACTGACTTTCAAAATTAAACTAATTGGGAGTTGAAAAAAAAAAAATGACACTGTTTTCCTCTTCCAATCTCTGAATAAAAGCTATTTGAGAGAATGAGATAGCCCTTCTATCTAACCTTTACATGACGGTTCTTTGAGATGTGTGGCATGTGTCCATTCCTACGTAGGTGTGTCCATGCCCACAGTACAGTTGCTGGAAATTTTTCCTCTACCAGTATCCACCATGTCAAATCTAGAGAACTCTGGTGCTGAGTGAATATGGAACCAGTATAAAGGAGCCTGCCGACCTTGTTCTTTTAGTTTCCTCTTGACAGCTACCTCCAAAGAGGTTACGGAGAGTGGATCTTGGAATGGACACGTGCAATATATCTTGAAAAACAACTGTTATAGAAAGGTTAGTATTTTTTTCTCCTTCTGTGTCATTCCCACATAGGTAGCTCACAGGCAGTTGCATAGGAGGTGGGTTTGGAATTCAAGAACAGGCTGACTGCAAAATT